CAGGGCTCCGTCGCCCTCAGAGGGAAGAAGTTCTTCCTCATGTTCAGACGGAACTTCCTGTGCCTCAGTTTGTGCCCATTGCCCCCCAGTTTGCCCCAGTCGCTGGTTACACTGAAATCTGGAGAACAACTCCCTCGACACCAGCCTGGGAGCAGTGTTCTGTATCCACCTGCGGAAAGCTGGGACGGTGCTCGCGGGAGCGGCGTGGGGGGATGCTTGGGAGCACCGGGGCCCGGCTGTTCTGCGCGTCTGTCCGGGCGCAGACACCCTGGACCACAGGCACAGGGCACCCGTGGATACCTGGAGTTGGCAGCACCGGCAAAAGGATCTGAAGAGTCCGGGTTGCAATGGAAAGAACATGAGTTGGAAGCCAGCCTCGACACAATATGGGAATAAAAGTACTTCTGCTGTAATGCGGATAAAGAAGAAAGCGCGATTACACCTTTACTGACTGCGTCCCTCTGACGTGTGTCAGGTGTCATTTATATCAGTACCTGGCTTTTGGAAAATTTCTTCTAGAGACATCAAAATCATGCTTTTAATCTGCCAAAAAAATTATGAATCTTTAACACAGAGTTAAGGATCATAGATTATGACTGGGAGGTGTTTGGCTTGAGCAAAGTGACGGGCTCGGTGCTCCCTGGGTTTGCAGGGAGCAGATTGCCCTCACTGGGTGGTGGCAGGGCCGCCGGGGGCCGTCCGGTGCCGCGAGCAGGGTGCTGTTGGCAGCGCCCGCCTCTGCAGCGAGGCAAAACGCGCTGCAGCAGCCAGCGTTACGCCAGACCTACGGGGAAACTACTTCACTTGCACCCATTCCATCCGCTCCTGGGGAAAAATTGGAACGTCTCAGTCGAACGCTTGTGGCACATCTATTGTTTCTGACCACTTGTGCCACGTTCTGCTGCCTTCTGCTAAATTCCTGCTTGGGACGTTATTTCCCACCAACCTGCAGTGTTTGTCGTGCAGCAGATCATATCCCTGCAGCGGGTGCCTGAATCCTTCACTCGTAACCACTTCAGCTGGGTTAAGTAAATAAGTATGCCTGGAAGACAGAAATCCACTCTTCCCTGCCCAAGGGAAGCTGCTGGCCCATT